CTTTCTCTTATTCAGACAAATTTCAAATTCAATTAAATCAATTTTCTAACCTCCTTTATAATTATGAAATTTCTGCGTGAGCAAAATTCTTGTGGCAATCGGCCTCTTGGCTAGCAAACCTTTGAACAGGAGTTTTTCACCATGTACTGTTGTCAGAAAGGTTTTGACCCTTCCATATCTTCTACCTCTGGCCCCGCATGACTGTTGTCTGTTGAACATTGGATATTTTCTTTCACTGACCATTCCCCTGTTTCTCATGATATAGTTGGCATACTGAAGAAGTAAATGACAAAATAATGGGAAAGAAATGGTATGTTGTGCTTAAATTGAATTACTATAAGCCGTCTCAATCACTAATCATTATTTATTCATCGCTATCATTATATTCCCATCATCATAATCACTATCATTAATCGTCTTTATCGTAATTAATCGTGCTCATCAGAAGAAGAAAACAAGACAGATCACTTATTTGTCAGATAATTAATAAATTTGTTCAGTAAATAATATTTGTTAATTTTTAGTTATTAATCTTTTTTTGTAGTGGTCCACTATTTTATACATTTAATTTGGTGATATTAAAATGAACTGAATGGGAAAAATCATTGAGTAAATGTTTTAAAAAATTAATAAAATGTATACAGTTATGAAGATAAACATTTCTAATTGGACTTCTTAATTAATTTTTGCATTATCTAATAGGCAAAATAAACAGGAAATTGTTTTGTGCTCGATATTTAAAGCTGCCAGTTATTTTTGCTGTTATTTTTGTAATATAATAACAATAATAAAAACTACTATTGATTATTTATCACTACTATTAATTATAATTATTACTATTAATTATCATTATCATCATTCTTACTATTATCGTTATCACTGTTATCATCATTATTAAACATTAATATCATTATTATTATTATTATTAAATATTAATAGTATTATTAGTATTATTATTATTATTATTGATTATTGTTCTACGTACTTATTACAACATATTGGCTAAATTATCAAACTAACTAATAAAAATTAACTTATTTTATTTCTGCAAATCTAATCAAATTTATTCAATTGCGTATTTTCAAAAGCAATATAACCTGATGGAATCGCACGTGCTCATTACATGCAACACCGCCGCAATCTAGCAATTCCTGTATGGAAAGTTTTATCAATCGTTGGGTACGAGATTTAACAACTGCTTCCACAACATCCGATACTGTACTGGCTGTAGTGATAGTAGGAATACAATCCTTTAAACATTGTTTTCACTAATAATGGAACAAAACTTTGAAAAATAATTGTGTTCAGAGCTTAATTTAATCCTTTCAAATTTTTATTTTAAAAAGAATTAAAGAGAAAAGAAGGGAGACAGAAAAAAACTTTAAAATGTTAACATTCATAATTATGTCGCTGATATTTTTAAATTGCGGTATCATTTTGTTATCACTGAATATCTATCTTTTATTATTTATTATTGATGAAATTTAAAATGATGACATGGAATAAGTGAATTACCACATAACTGAAAAGATTTTTCACTGGTGTGACATAATTTTTAGCAACCCAATTAACTTCTTTAATTGAACTTTCTGTTAAATTCGGTGGGACAGGATTATCTGTTTCATTGAATACCACTACTGGAAACAGATCGTCCAAATCCTCCTTCGACTATAATTTTAATAAATTAATTAATTGTCATTATTTTTCTTTATCTCTCTAATTCCTTCCCCCGCACAATGATTAATTTCATTTTACCGTGTCACTCATTACAGTTAGGCCAAGCATAAATGATGATTTGCCTTGTTTGTACAATTCATTGTGCTTTTTAATCTCTTCCAGATTTTTAGCATAAGCCAATAAACGGTGCGGTTCCGGTCGATCGTCTTTAACACCTTGCTCTACAACAAAAAATTGTTAATCGGCAACTTAAAAATAATACATAATTTATCCACAAATATGCATAAAATATTATTCATAGCACATTAACTACTTTAACTATCACTCAAACTCATTTGATCCAATTGTATGCGAAATGCAGTGTGAAATTTAAATGAAAAAGCAAAATATTAAGGTAGTAAAAAAGTCAGTGCAATGAAGTTATATTATTGAATTTATACTTTAAGCAATTTCGAATTAAATGAGCGGAATGATTTTAAAATAGGCAATAAAAATATGAATATATCGAAATTTTTAATTACTTACTGTATTCTGCGACAAATTTTGTATAACCATCGTAATGTTTCGCATATAGCTGACGTAATTTTGAATAGCTTAGTGCCTTGAATTCTCTGAAAAGTATGGTTCGACTAACAAAATATAACTTAAAAAATTCATTCATCGGATTGTATGAAAAATTTAATCGTTATAATTTTTGATTTTTGATTAGAAATAGTTGAAATAGTTATTTTTTCATTAAATATCTTGGTGCAGTAAGTCAGACAAAGTTGATTTTAATGATTTTATAGACTTCATCAAGTTATGAAAAGAAAGCACGTACTGATGAATTAAGCTGTCACAGTTTAAGATGAAATTCTGCGCCACCAAAAGGAGAAGAAGCCGACAACAATGTCCCATTCTGTAATTTGCCAAATTGAAGATGTCGTCTAAAATTGTCATTTGGATGGTTTTTTATTGGAAAACAATTCCGATTTTTATCACTTTTATCGGCAGAAAATCAGACGATTTTTGATCATCCAAAATTTCTTATCACGTAATTTTAGACTGTAAGCTTTCCACTTCTTGTAAATAAAATTGACGTCGTGTTGAAATTAATATTATTTCAATGCTTTTAAGGAACCAGAAATCATAATATAATTCTCCATTTTTGGTCGTAGT